TTCTTTAATTTTCATATGAGGTTTCCTTATTTAGCAGTGGTGCTTAGAACTTTTTTTTTATTTGTGTGATTTCCTCTGCCTTTGTATTTTCCAAGACTTTTGGCCTGTTTTAACTTTTTGTTGTTTTGGTGGAGCTGGGGGGGTTTGAGCTCAGGGTTTTACCCTTGCAGGGCAGGCACTCTAGTGTTTGAGCTACACCTCCAGTCCATTTTGCTCTGGTTATTTTGGAGATGGGAGTCTCAAGAACTACTTGCCCAGGCCGGCCTTAAACCTTGATCCTCCCAGTCTTAGTCTACCAAGTAGCGAGGATTACAGGTGTCAGCCTCTGGCACCCTAATTTTTTTGTTTTGGCAGTACTGGGATTTGAACTCAGGGTCTCATGCTTGCTAGGCAAAAGCTGTACTATTTGCCTACCATTGAGCCACTCCACCAGCCCTGGTGACTGATCATTTATGACTTAAAAATCATATATGACATTGACTTAAAAATATTTCATTCTTGTAGACATTCTACCCAAATGTAGAAGAAGCATCTAACTCAGATTTTGAACTATTGGGGCCAGGTACAGTGGCTATCATCCTAGCTACTTGGGAGGCAGAAAGCAGGAGGATTGTAATTTGAAGCTAGCCTGGGCAAAAAGTCAGTGAGACCACATCTCAACCAATAGCCAGGCACAGTGGTACTCACCTGTCACCCCAGTTACAGTGGGAAGCATAAATAAGAAGATTGCAGTCCAGGCTGACCTGGGCAAAAATATGAGACCCTGTTTTAAAAACAACTAAAAGATTTTGAGCCATTGGTTTTTGGTGACAAAGAGAAAGTTTCCATTCAAAAACAGTCAGCATTATGTATGGCTTCCTAGATTATCACATCTGCTTTGTCCACTCTCAAGACTGGCTTGAAGTACCCAAGAGAATGTGTGGAAATACTTTGAAAAACATAGAGTATCATATCATTGTGTTTTGCTCTTATGCATACATGAATCTCCTAACTGCATACTTGAGACTTTTTGTCATAAGACATTTTGTTATGTGAATATATAGATTGGCATAGAAAAAAAAAAAAGTGGCTGGGCCAAGTAACGAACTTGAATCCAAGGCCTTGCTGACAGATGATGGAGTGGCTGGGTAGTGGGAGATCATCTGGTGTCTTAGAGCCTTAAACTGGAAGTTGACATAATAGGCTCACTCGAGACTCTTCTGTGTTTCACCCCCAGCCTCTCCATTCCTGTGCCAATATTAATGAAGCACTTATAAGGACTAGACACCGTGCTAGACATTAATGATGTTCACAGTAAGAGAGATGGGATGCTATTTCTGTCGTCCGGCAGCTCACAGGGGAGGCAGTCACAGACAGCAGTGTGGGCTACTAAATGTATTTTGGACTGTGCCAACAGACTGAGTTTGCTGAAAAAAATGTGTAATTTTTTTTTTTTTTTTGGCAGTACTGGGGGTTGAACTCAGGGCTTCCCACTTGCTAGGCAAATACTGTACTGCTTGAGCTACACCTCCAGCCTGAAAAAGGTGTAATCTTGGATAAATTTATTTTCTGGTTTAAATATATTAGTATTCTCTTAGCCAACTTTCTTAAACTTTTAAAAATATATGATAAAATATATGTTAATATTTTGTGATCTATGAAATATTTTAGTATAGGCTATATTTAAAAATATATAGATTACATATATATTCATATATATTTTTTTTGGCAGGACTGGGCTTTGAACTTATGGCTTCACATTTGCAAAGCAGGAGTTTCACTGCTTGAGCCATACCTCCAGTCTCATATGTATATGTAATTTTAGGATAACTGATCTGTTCTACTTAGTAAGCCATCTGAACACTCCCTGTCGTACTACATTAATGTTAGCATTCAGAAAGGACATTGCTGCTGTCGCTTTGACATTAGTCCTTCATTGTTTATTTTTAGTTTTTGTGGTGCTATGTATTAAACCCAAGACCTTGGGCAATAGGTAAGGCAAGTGCTCTCCCTTTAAACTACATCCCAGGCTAAGCACTAGTAACTCTTAAGAGCAGAAACCTAGATTTGAATACTACCTGTGCCTCTTTTTTTGAATCTGTGGAACTTATTTGTGCCTCAGTTTCCTTTTCTGGAAATGGGAATAAAAATAATGGCTAACTCAGTTGCAAATATTGGATGAGCTCATATACATAAAAGTACTCAGATAGTGTCTGCATACATTAAAGGCTATATAAATATTAATAGTTATCATTATTATTATTTGGCAGAATAAGAGTAAGTTGGGTAAGGTTTCAAGAATTGATTTTCTCCTTTTCAAGCCCTCAGAATTACTCTAAACTAAAGGTAGGAAGATAAAGAAGACCCAGCAACACACATACCCACACACAGAAAAGTAAGAAAGCTAAACCTTTGCTGTCCATCAGCTACATGTCAGACAGTGCACTGGCATTTTAGCTGCTTCTCATTTGATCATTACACCAGTGCTATGAAGTCAATTAGAAACAGGCTGAGAGAAGTTAAGTTAGGGCTCCTGCTACGAAATGGAATGGACGCCATGATGATAATCAGTCCCTGCACTCCACAACCTGGACTCCTGCCTTGCATGACTCCAGACAACCTGAGAGTTCAATAGGTCTTACTAATAGGTAAGCCTATAATATGCCTTCCTGATTGTTGGGTACTTTATTTCTAACAATCATCATTTTTTTTTGCTGTCACTGGAATTTGAACTCAAGACATTGCACTTTCTAGGCAAGTACTCTACCACTTGGGTCATACCCCAGCCCTCTTTCCTTTAGTTATTTTTCGGATAGGGTCTCTTACTTTTTGCTGGGGCTGACTTGAGACTGTGATCCTTCTACTTATTTATGCCTCCTTAGTAGCTGGAATACAGTTATGCACCACCACTCCTGGCTTATTTGTTGAGATAGGGTTCTCACTAACTTTTTGTCTGGACTGCCCTCAGACCTCAATCTTCCCAATTGCTGACACCCCCCCTTCCCCAGGAAGCCATGCCCACCATGCCTAGCCCTCTAATGAGCATTTAAAAGGATGTGGTCTACATCTTTTAGTTTGTTACTACTGTAGTGATTTGTTTTATTTATCTGAAATTCCATCCTTCTCCCATTCAAAAGTATATTACAGTTGTTGAGATGGTATAAGTGGGACCTACATGGGAAACATTTGAATGTGTGAAGTCTTTGTAATAGTTTAATTTACTATAATTTCCCAACTTTCAAGTTCATCATCATAATTATGGAAGTCATTTTTCAAATTAATAACTATTTCAGAGGGCATTAATCATAAACTCCATGTGGTTACATGTCCTTTGTGCTATTTAGTATAGAAGCTATTCTTGTAGTTAGCTTTTGGGGATCATCCAAAATTTATGAAAATAAATCATAACTAAGTTAATCTTTTCCTGTTCTTACATTGAAAGGTGGGTCATCTGGATAGGGAAGAGCGGCACTGCGTGGATGAGACCCTGTCCATACAGCGTCAGCTTAGTTTTCCTAGAGCAGTTTGCTTTAAACCCTCAACCTAAATGTGTGAAAAATATAAACGCTCCCTACAAAAAATTGTGTGTTTCCTGAGTTTCATAGTCTTGCAACCTCTTCTGCTTCCTTGTGCCACTGATTTGCACCCAGAAGTGAAAGCTGGCTACATCTCTGATTTTCAGAAAATCCCTATTCCACAGGGCATTTGTGGGTTTTGCATACCTAACTGAAGAAAGGGGGCAAAGCAGAGGTGGGGTGAGCCCTGCTTTGCATTAATGCAGGCAACTTTCCTAGCAAGGCATCCCCATTCTTAAAATGTTTTCAGCTCTCCCTTGACCTGACAGCTTCACCCCCACCTAATCCCAGCTTTGCTCCATTATGCTAACTCTTCTTTTCTCCCTCTCCTCATTCTTCTCTCCGTTACCTTTCAGAGATAAAACAACAAACTCTTCCCCTTGTCTAATACCAAGCAATTTCCCTTTCTTGACAGCCCTTCTGCAGGAACCACCCACACCAGGGGGACTGGACATGAGAGGTGGCGGGCCCATATGGAGAGAACATTTTTTCACAAAGAAAGTTTCTTCTAAGAGGAATTCTTGTGTTGGCTGTGAGGGTGACAAAACAGAATTTGGTATCCCGTATGTGGCAGCCAAGCTTACCAACCTTAAACTTTATCGAATCCTGAATAAAGTGTCAGAAATCTAAAACTGATTCATGTGTAATGCAGCCAAGTCATAAACTCTAGATATTTTTGATTACAGAACACCCTTGCTTGTAGGATATATACTGCTTTTAAAGAACCCACTTAGCATGAAAGGATCTCCATGTGCCCTCTAGGATTATTAAGTACTTCACTTACACAGAAGTCATTTTAGCTTTTGATTTCTTGACTTTTTGTTACCACAATTTTTCTTCCTGACAGTTTTAGGTTATATGCAAAGACAACAGGTGATCTATAAAACCTAAAACAGCTGAGGGATGACTCAAGTGGTAGAGCACCTGCCTAGCAAGCCTGAGGCCCTGAGTTCAAAGCCCAGCACCACCAAATAAAAAAATAAAAGAGCAAGGGTAGCAGTGACATCATCAAGATGGCAGACTAGGAAGCTCCAGGCAGGCTGTTCCAGAAACATTAAATGAACAACTAGAATAAAATAACTTTATATTAAAAGAAAGAAAAAAATCTCAGTACCACCAAAAACAAACAAAACAAAAACATAAAATAAAACCTAAAACAAATGTAGAAGTGTATTTTTTCAGGGAGTAAACCTTTAATACTTTGCACTTATGGCTCGGGTACCCCCATAAGTGACTTAATCTGTGATTGTTCTTAGCTAATAAAAGAACCCAAAAGGGTCATGGGTTTTTGGGTTTTGTTTTGTTTTGTTTTTTCCATTCTTTTATATCAGTCTTGAGGACTTATAGGGAAGGTCACTGAATTGTGATACTTTTCTGAATTTATGAATGTAATTGCTTTTTTCTTGCCATTATTAGCCTTGGCTTACAGGTTGTTTTCCCTCATAGGTAATAGAGAAGAGGAAACCTGAGCAACAATTGTGGAATATTATGGAAGAAGATGGAAAAAACTTAATGGGTAAGAAATAAAACTGTAATAAAGCATTATTAATGAAAACTTCATAACAGTATCATGTGTGGCCAATCCATAATATTACAGTCCTATTATGGGAAAGTAATCGTCACGATATGTGTGGTCTTTTCACTTTTCTGAACTTTTACTACCTGATTCCATCTTAATGTTGTAAAATTTTCAATACCATCACTTAAGTTAAGCTCTGAGGCAGACACAGCTATAGTTGAAGATAAATGGGACCTGGAGACCAGCAAACATATTAAAACAAGTCTGGGATAGGTCTTGAAGTTTATTGGTGGTAGGATAGTCATGGTGTCTGCCATGACCTGTCAAGAGTAATTATTCACCCCTTCTTTTTCTCTAAATACTGCCAGCTGCTGTGATATTAGGCTCACCATAGGGGTCTTGTTTATTTGAGTTGGTGCAGTGTGTCAGGTGGTAATCAAATAGAATTCCATTGAAAGCCCAATAAAAAGTGTGACTAAAGTTATGAAATATAAAAAGTTTTTAATTTCAGAAATCCATACATTCTTATTGTCAAAAATTCAAATGTTAAAGATAACCAAGACTCTACCTGAAGGTTGGTCCCCTCCCAGAGTCTGTTAGTGTATGATATGTATTTGTTCAACCTTCTTTTTTGTCTAGTGATTAAAAACAGCTTTTATTGGTTGGGAGGGCATCTCACAAACTTTTTGCTCAGGCTGGCCTTGAACTGAGATTCTCCTAATCTCTGCTTCATGAGTAGCTAGGATTACAGGCATGAGCCACCTCACCTGACTTGCGTCTTTTTAAGTACAGGGAAAAATGATGATGTGAGAGGATTAGTTATGAATAATTCTTTCTCTTGACCATACTTGAATAAAGGTATTTTGCTTCATTACAAATTGCTTGTAATGGATAGAAATCACCTGAACTAGCTAAAGAACAACACCTATTTAGAAGCGAGTAGAGCGTGCTGATTTGTAGATTACCATTTAGCTGCTATGCATAGAAACATGCAGACTGGAAGATTGAACAGGCAGCAGTTGGAACTGATTGGTAATGGGAAACTGCCCTTTTGTCCTGTTAAATAATATTTGAATGACAGCAGAAAGTTGTGCAAGAGAAGAAAATCCAGGAGAAAGGTGACTTATGGGTCTTATAATTAGGATGTCACTTAAAAGTGATGGTCTAAAAAGTAAATGTACAGTAACATTTGACATTTATACATGAACTGGCAGGAGTTACAGTGCGTGGTTTTTGTTCTGGGGTCCATCTTGTCAGAGAGAAGTACTGATTTTTCTTTTCTTTAAATAGCAATGCTCTTCCTGTTGAAATTAATGTTAAAGGATAAAGAGTGATTGATATTTAATGTAACAACTATGCTGATAAAATGTCTTGGCCTTCAAGTGTGGCTACATGAAGGGAGTGATGTTTTCTGACTCTTTTTCTCCCATCTTTTTTTTTTTTTACCCCCTTCCATTGTTTGGGAATCACTTCTGAATGCTGATCAAAGTTATGGCTCTTAGCATGAATGTCATTTAAAGTAGTGTCTTACAGGGCAGACCAGGGACCACTGGGATCTCTCAGGGGCTGATGAGGTCAGAATGATTTTCATAACAATACTGAAATGTTATTTGCTTTTCCCACCCTCCTCCACTCTAGTGTGTGCAATGAGTTTTCCAACTGACTAGGACAGAATGTGAAACTGACCATGACAGAATGGCTTGATATTTTGTGGTTTTTAAATTATTTTTAAAAATGGTATCAAATAATTTAAGATTTTTCATATCTTACCTGGACCCCAATAAAGATAGGTCTATTCAGCACTCATGTTACAGTTGATTTTATCTTTTTTTGTTTTCAAAGTTAGCGGAAGTTTTGTCAAGAAATTTAACTTTAATAAAAACTACCAACTGATTTTAAATTTATTGCTTTTGCTTTTATTCTAATTGTTTTTATTTTATTTAATATTTGCAAAAAAATGTTTTTATATGTGTGAGATTTTCCTTGCCTGGTGAGTTGCTCCCAAGACCCTGTAATTTCTTTAAAGAGACTTTTATTAGAAAGAGAATTACTTGGCTCATTAGACTGAGTCATTTAATAATGACTTGAAGGTTAATACAGCCGTCAGAATCCTGCTCACAGGCTTCATGTCTATCTTGTCACTCACTAACTTCAGCCATTTCTAAGTGCAGACAGTTGGGAATGCCATTAGAATATTAGTGGAAAAATAAACTGATACTCAAAATGTGAATGACTAAAAGTTTTCTCTAAGATTATTTTAATCTTAAGATACACTTTAATAGAAACTTTCTAATTTGGACATTTTAGTCTTCCTTTCATTGAAGGTATGAAAGGAGCTTTTTCATCAAAACCATCTATGGCTGTTTTCCATTCAGCATTGCTCTCTGCCAGGTGCCCCATTCTCAGCTGGGCCTGGTGTGCCAAAGACCAGAATGTCCCGGGTTAGGATACAGTCCCAGGCTTTGGCCTGTTGAGAAAGGCCATCATTTGCCTGCTGAGGGAAGGAGGAACTTGAAGGCATCAAACCAAACTTTTTTGTTGTTGTTGTTACACACCTTACCCCCACCTTCAGAGGTATGTGGAGCCTCCAGGTCCTAAGCCTTTCTGTGCTCTGAAGTTCTAGCCAGCTTTTTTCTTGTTTATTTTACCATGGTGTAGGTAGCATTTAAGTTTTACTGTGCTTTTGTCTCTTGTAGTTTCCATTCCTTCATTTTCTGGCTTCCAAAATTTTCATGAAACCCCTCATCTGCTGTTGCTTCATCTTCTCCTTTCTGTTCTTGTGAATTTATGCCCCTTTTTACTCCTTTATTGTGATTTTACTAGGGTTTCAAGAAGGAAAGGAGGTGCATGTGTATTTATTCTGCCTTGTTTTACTGGGGAGGCCAAGGTTTAGCATATATTATTGAGTGCTTACAACATACCAGGGATTGTGTTAGAGATTTGGGTTTTTTCCTTTAATTTAAAATCCCTTCAAGCTGGGCTTGGTAGCAAGTCCTGTAGTTCCAGCTACTGAGAGATTGAGGTGGGAGTTAAACCCAGGAGTTTGAGACCAGCGTGGGCAACATAGTAAGACCCAGTCCAAAAAAAAAAAACAAAAACAAAAAATCCCTTCAGATTTTATTGAGGATTAGAAAATTCATTCCCATTAGTGTTAGTCACCTAAGTTTTGATACTATCATAAACTATCAATCATTACATCAATCTGTAAGATAATTATATTCAATTTTAATGAATATGGAAACAAATTTAGAAAACTTAGTAACAAGTTTAAACTCAGTGGAAAGTGATGCCAGATTTGAGAGGGGTTTCTAAAACAATATTTAAGACTCGTAGTAGATACAGAAAGATAGGCATCAAGATCAGCTAGCAGTTTAAGCAGACATGCAGTGGTAGGAATCAGGGATTGCAGTGAAGATGGGGGGCAGAGAGTGGGTTCAAGAAGGTAGAGGGCATTTAAATCCATTCTCTTAGATAAGAGCTAATGTAGCAAAGAATCTATACCAGGGTATGACATTCCTCATTTTAGTTTTGAAACAGGGTCCTCCTGAGTGTTGGGATTACAGGTGTTTGCCACCATGCCTAGCTTTGACACTTCTATTTTGCAAAAGCAAATTAGTAGCCCTTGGTAATGAACTTATGATATAAATAAGAAGCTAAAGAGAATGACAGGCTTTTAAGTCAGGAGTGGAATAACCAGGATTGGGGAAAGGTGGGAAGAAGTGCTGAATTAAGGGGAAATTAGGGATTTCTTTTCTTTTTTTTTTTGGTGGTGATACTGGGGTTTGAACTCAGGGCTTTGTGCTTGGTAGGTAGGTAGGTGCTGTACCACTTGAACCTCACCTCCAGCAATATTAGTAAATTTAAACATTATGTATGAATTTCATGCTTGCTTGAAAATATGAGCATATGACATGTCTTCTATGTCTTTTTTTTTGACATTTATCTGAATATCCTGTAAGTTGAGTTCATTAAGTCACATTGTTTCCTGATAGATAATATGTAATCTTATTTTTAAATCTGTCATTTGAGGTCCATTATTTTTTCCTTTTTTTTTAAATATGGAATGCTTCATGAATTTGCATGTCATCCTTGTGCAGGGGCCATGCTAATCTTCTTTGTGTTGTTCCAATTTTAGGATAAGTGAGCATCATCTTTTTATCCTTGCAAAAGAAAGTAGTCTGATTTCAAAAGACAAGTGTTTTTTGGTAGTACTAGGGTTTGAACTCAGGCTTTGGATGTTTTTTAAATAGGGTGTCCTATTCACACTCTGTCAGACCTGGAATGTGATTGTCCTCTTTAAGCCTCCCACTTAGCTGGGATGACAGGCACACACCACCACACCCAGCTTTTATTGGTTAAAATGGGGTGTCACAGACTTTTGCATGGACAGACCTCAAACCATGATCTTCTTTTTTTTTTTTGTTCATTTTTCTTTTATTATTCATATGTGCATACAAGGCTTGGTTCATTTCTCCCCCCTGCCCCCACCCCCTCCCTTACCACCCACTCCGCCCCCTCCCTCTCCCTGCGCCCAATACCCAGCAGAAACTATTTTGCCCTTATTTCTAATTTTGTTGTAGAGAGAGTATAAGCAATAATAGGAAGGAACAAGGGTTTTTGCTGGTTGAGATAAGGATAGCTATACAGGGCATTGACTCACATTGATTTCCTGTGCATGAGTGTTACCTTCTAGGTTAATTCTTTTTGATCTAACCTTTTCTCTAGTTCCTGGTCCCCTTTTCCTATTGGCCTCAGTTGCTTTAAGGTATCTGCTTTAGTTTCTCTGCATTAAGGGCAACAAATGCTAGCTAGTTTTTTAGGTGTCTTACCTATCCTCACCCCTCCCTTGTGTGCTCTCGCTTTTATCATGTGCTCATAGTCCAATCCCCTTGTTGTGTTTGCCCTTGATCTAATGTCCACATATGAGGGAGAACATACGATTTTTGGTCTTTTGGCCAGGCTAACCTCACTCAGAATGATGTTCTCCAATTCCATCC